AGGTGGAATTCCAAGAAAGGGGGCTCAAAATCAATAATCTCCAAACATCTTTAGTAATAGAAAACTGCCAGATGAATCTTCAAACCAGACTTCAAGATCATCTCACAAATCCCTCTTCTGAAGTGCTTTGGGAACGTATTAAAACCAGCATTCTGCTATCTTCCGTCGAATCTTGCAACAAAAATAAAGACTAGTTTGATGGAAACAATGAAGAGATTCAGAATTTGTTAACAAAAAAGAGATTTCCTCACTAAGCATAGCTCGTTTAGGCCATCTGTTATGTTAGAAATGTCATCTTTTGTTTTGCATACAGAAGCTCCAACAGAAACTTCGAGACATCCAAAACAAATGATAGATAAACCTAGCAGAAAATGTTCAATATTGCGCAGATTCGGATGATGATAGTGGATTTTACGAGACTCTGAAAGCTGCCTATATCCACATACCACTCAAAGCTCCCTAATTAGCGCAGATGGCTAAATGCTTCTCACTGATAAAAATTCTATCCTGAATCGATGAACATTTCCGTACTCTCTTCAATGCCAACCGTGCAGTTCAAAGTTCAGTAATTCAGCACAAGCGATAAAAAGCAAATTAAATATAATCCTGCTAGAGCAAAGCCTCCATCGCCACCCTCTGCGACTTCTCGAACGTTTGTACCAGCGTTGCTTCCATACAATCCTAAACATCCACTAGTTTGACAACATATCTAATGTTATTGTTTTTACACAGGCAGGGCTCGCCAGTATTGAAGCCATACTACTGAAGACACGTCTCGCTGGACTGGACACGTCTCCTCCTCCAGGATAAAGGATCACCGCCTTTCTAAGATTTTTTTTATAGTGATTTGACTATCGGGTTCCTCAAAAGAAGAATCCCAAGAGGAGATACAAGGACGCCCTTAAAAAATATCTTAACCTTGGCCAAATACCTCCCCATCAATGGTTCATTGTCTTCGAATCGGGAGACATGGAGACATATCATCCATGATGCTGCTGCTTCCTTCGAGAACACACGCAAAACCAACTTTGAGGACAAACGACAATGCAGAAAAAACCGTATTTTATCAATACTAAGAAGACCTTTCGTTGTGTCATTTGCATTCGAACTTATCTGTCCCTCATTGGCCTTATTAGTTATCAGCGTCCCTGTACCAAGC